GGTAAGTTTGTAGGCAGAAGATTTTCCTTTTGAAATCTTCGATTATTTCTTTAAAAACTGACTTCTCATCATATCAGTTTGTTATTCCCATATGATTAACTGTTAAAAGCTTCGTTTATTCGATACTTGTTTGGTTATCTTAGTGGCTATAAAACTGATGTAAATATATCTTCGATGGGAGATAGAACAGAGGACTAATTGAGAGCTTATTTAGTTCTGGTGGTTGCATAGTGGCTGTAGACTCAATAGGGTATCTTAAACTCTTATGTCTTTCTCCTTATCCTTAGTTCGGATTGTTTGTTCTTAAAACTCGGTATATTTTTAATCCAGGGTAACCTAGGTATTTAGTTCGATCTTCTGAAAATGTTTTAAGGTTTTTTGTGTCGCACCTAGTAGTTATGAGGCTAGTGAAGTACTTGAATATCCATCTTTTAACAATCAGTCAGAGGTCTTGTGGGTCCTCTGTGGATTTAGGACCCATAGTCAAACTGTTGAAATTAGTTCTGTAATTTGAGTTGCATAAGTTACTGCTGAAATTATGTCCTGTAATTTGATTTGACGTTAAATTCTCCAGATCAATAAACAGAACGTTTCAACTTCCTGTTTCTCAATGGGATTCTTAAACAAATTGTATTGTGCCCTTTGATTCTTCAGAAACTGTCCTTCCCTTTTGGAAGGGCGAAGCCAAAAGAATCAAACATAAATAAGAAACCAGGGATTTTCAGTTTGTTCATTACACACATTTCCTATAATGATATTCATCTAACCGTTTATTTGTACCATCACCTGATATGACTTGTGCAGGTTCGGGCCAGAGTATGTGAGTGGCCTTAGTATCCTTTTTAGATGGTCCCATGGATGTCACTTCTTTTTGTTGTACTGTCTGAAATCTGCAATGGTTTAATTTTGTTATGCATCTAATAGGTTGGCCATTGTATGTTGGAAGGCCCACCCATTGGGATCGTTCCATCAATATTGTTGTGCCTAAATCAATAATTTTCCTAGAATATTTAAGGCTAAATTATAAGTGGCAAAAATATGTTTATTATTTCGAAAGTTGTAACAATATTCTTCATTTTCATAAATATTTCAAAACTATCATTAGAGTTGAAATTCGTTGAAATTCAAAATTGAACGGTGTATTGGTACTGTTCTAGGTCATCGTCAAACTCATTCCATGTCTAAACTTTCTTCCAAAATTCTAAAAAACTTCTACCCAAGGTTAGTTTTGAAACATATATGAAAGGGTAAGAATAATATTGAAATTTTTAGGAAAATAAGGCTATTTTTTAAACAAATAACAGTTCAAAGATTACTTTTTTACAATTTAGTCAATATTTATTTCACATGAGTTGCCCACAAACGATCTAGAGAAAGAAAGAGAATATCCCTTTTAAGGTTTGTTTGATTTGAAGCACTTGAAAAGGTTATTTTAGATAGGCTGTTAATTACTGCTATTTTTCCACCTCTAGAAATTCAATACTGTTACAATGAAGTAATTTTGAATTCCAGTTTTGGTGCTGTTGGCAGGTTCACAACTCAACGTAGGATGAAAAACTTACCCAGATGGTTCGGGACAATCTTCGGCAATTGAGTACTGGAAGAATCCAATGAAGACGGCTGGATAAATTGCCCCCACATAATGGCATTCACAGGAAGGTTGTCGTGCAGCTGTTGTAGTTCTAGATAAGGCATTTCTGTTCTCTCTTTACTGTTCTTTTTCCCATCATCTTTATGACTCAACTTATAATGCTATCTTATATAGAATGCTCTAATTACTATTTTGACATTGATTCTTCTTATTAGATTGAAAATGGGTTAGGCACTTGGGAGTCGGAGAATGCTTGGGGGATAACTCTCAGGTGAAATGCTTTTTCAATGAAAATAACACTTGGTTAAGTGCTTTTATTACTTTTGGGATTTTAAAAGCCCTTTTTGACCGGTAGCCAAATTTTGAAAAACAATCCTTAGAATTGTTTTAGAAACACATAAGGTATCAACAAGTTGGACCAAACACATTAATGAATTAATGTGCAATTGGAGACTTTTACCATGATAATTTTGCGATGTTACAAAAGGAAAAAACTTCGAAAGGTAAAATAAAATACTTAGTGGTCATTCATCTATATGGTGTAATATCCTACAACCAAATATAGCAGGCTAAACCCCGGTTGTTTGGTGAGAATAGTTGAGGTACATATCAACTGGTCTGAACCCAAAAATGATTAAATACTATTTTGGTCATTGTACTTTTAGACCGTTCATTTTGATCTGTATATATTTTAAGGTCGGCCTTTTTAGTCCTCTTACTAATAGATTGATGACTTAACCCTCTTTTCTAAGATGAGTAAGCACCCTGGATAATTTTAGCTGCCAGATAAGTCGGATGAGATTAAATTCCCAACATCTTACAGTTTTTCTCCTTCAATGGTTTCTTTGTCTTCGTGACCAAATCGTGGTTTTCGATCATAGTGACCTTAGTGAGCTAGGCTTCTTTAGGCATCTGTTCATACCCATCTCTAAAAAAATATAATAACTTGAATAATATTTAAATAAACTAAAAAAGAAAACTAGGAAGGGTAAAATATGCTCTTATGTGGTCTTAAAACTGATGGTGATTCTTGATGCTGTTGTGATAGAAAAGCTTTCAATGATTGCTTAGTGATGAAAAAAGGTGCAACGGTTTGGCAAATTCCGTAGTTATGTTGAGTTTGAGTAAAGTTGATTTAAAACAACATTCATTCTTTAATCTTATAGCTTTATACCATTATGTCATATGCGATTCTAAAGGTAGGCGGAAGGTGAAGAGGATAAAAGAATGAGAGGTGATTCTTCATTTGTTAGAGCCTCTTTTGATGGTGGAATCCTATGCCTTTATGCTTCCATCTTTTAAAGTATAAGTTGGACACGTTCTCAGTATCTAATCCTCTTTCATCAGGCATGGGTGCTTTGTGCTTTACAGAAGGGTATGGTCGTCAATGTTTAGTTCCAAGTTTAGTCAATTGGAGACCCGTATTGACTAACTAAGAAGATCATGAATATACAAGGAATACTTTTTCATTGGTATGCGGCATTTTAGAAAAATCCAAAGCCAAATCCTGAGAATTTATGTTCAAAGTAGATACTATCATATCATTATGGACGTTCATTGTTCTTATCATTGGTATTAGTGTCGTGCCTTTATCTTTGTGAGCCTCGAAGGTGTTTCACTGTGGTAGGGCTCTATTAGACTAACTTTTTGTGAAAGACTAAATATAAATTTTAAATTATTTTATACCTCTCATTTGAATGATGGACATCTCCCATAGAAATACATCGGTGTAACATAGAATTATTATTATCATTTATCTACAAAGTGTAACCTCTTTTTTAAGTCACCACTATAAGATCATGAATTTTTATACTTAATCTATATTCAATGAATTTTTCTTAATCGGGTGTTTTTATTGTATATTTGGAAAGCACTATTGAGAGAAGAAAAGATCATTACTAAAATCTTAATGGAGCTTTAACCGCTTCCAATATCATTAACACAAATTAATAATCTTTGTTGGATCGAGAAAGGATAAACATTTTTCTTTTTGGTCATAGGAGAGAATCATAAAGTAAAAGAGTAAAAACTTCATTTTGCTCCTTTTTTATATATATATATATATATATATATATATATTTCCATTCATGACTTGATGTTGGATGTTGGTGCTTGATTTTGTTAAAAGCCCCATGTGGACATCATTTTCCAACTTAGTCATTTTGTGACAAATTTTAGCCCCACCACTACTACACCTATAATGTCTATGCTTCCACCACTACTACGTTAGTCTAGTCTCTCTCTCTTCTAAGATCAGTAACAATACCCCTGATAATTCAGTGACTATTTCAGACGAAGTTTAGTAAATAAGACATCAATTATCATTTCAAAATATAACGATTCGATCCAAACAAAAGGGTCTAACTATATATGCATTGTGGGTATTCAGGAGAACTTAAAATCGTACTTTTTATAGGTATAGTTTTGAGATCCTAATTGGAGAGGGAAACAGAGAATTTGTTTCAAAGGTGTAGAAATATCTTCTTAGTAAATGCGTTTTAAAAACTTTGAGAGGAAGCTCGAGAGGAAAAGCTACCTCTTCCTAGTAGACGCGTTTTAAAAACTTTAAGAGGAAGGTCGAGAGGAAAAGCTACCTCTTCCTAGTAGACGCGTTTTAAAAACTTTAAGAGGAAACTCAAGAGGAAAAGCTACCTCTCCCTAGTAGACACTTTTTATTTAGAGGAAGCTCGAGAGGAAAAGCTTAAAGTAAGACAATATCTACTAGCGGTGAGTTTGCACTCTTACAGTAGGTAATAGATACATTGTAGTAGCTATATCGTCTAAGGTCGGGCTCAAATTGGACAAAATTCTCAAAACCAAAGGGAATTTGGCCTCCACACATTGGTTACCTCAACAGGCTGGCAAATTTAGCTTTTTCTTCCCCCCTATTCCCTTCCCCACCACAAAGCACCCATCCATCACCTCATTACTCCCTCCTCTTCTTCCCTACCAACCAACCCAAATTCATGGTTCCTCAAAATTCATGAACTTTTGCCCTTTTCAATTCAATTTTGAGCTGCATTCTTCTTAATTATTGGTTACTCAACACCTATATCATTAAATACTCGAGAATTATGAGTACCCTTTTCTTTTTGTTCGCATTATTTTGAGAAATTATTCAAAGGGTCGGTACTTTCGTTGTACATAATTTAGTAATCGTCGACTTTTGAAATGATGATGGATGAACAAGAAACGAGTCTCTCTTATTGAACTAGAAAAAAAATGAAAATGCTAACAAATAACTGTTACATATCCCACAAATATCACTCAAAGCTGCTCTCAAGAATCATATGGGAGAGAGATAGAAAGAGATGGAAATGAAAAAGAAACAAAAAGAATACACAAATGAGTATGAAGATCATAATCTACAGCAAATTCAAGTACTATGCTGCGTTGTTAAACCAAGACGATGGCCAGGCCACCCAACACCGCCGCAACACCCGCCGCCTTGTACCCACCGTGCTGGATCGAAAATCCCGCTCCCGGCGGTGGTGGCGACGGTGGCGACGGCGACGGAGCTGACGCTGGAGATGGCTCCGAAGATGGCCCTGGAGATGGGCCTGGAGGCGATGGTGGGCTGTCGGGCATTGTGCTTGGGCCTGGGCTTGGGCCCGATTCCATAGACGGCGGAGAAGCCATCGGCGGGGGGACGGTGGGAGGAGCTGCCATCGGTGGAGTTGACATGCTTGGCGGAGGTGAGGCTGCCGTTGGGGGCATGGCGGTGGGGGGAAGTGTAGTAGGAGGAGCTGCAATTGGCGGTGGGATTAACGGCGGCGATGCGGTGACGGCAGGACCTGGAGCAGGGGAGGGAGATTGAGCAATGGCGGAGGCTGCTAGAGAGAGGAGAGAGAGAGAGAGCACGAGCATAGCACGTGCGGTAGCCATAGCTGGAAGAAATTGAAGCAGAGAAGAGAGGAAGATTGAAGCGAGGGTTTGTTGGGGGAGGATGATTGATATATAAAGAGGAAGAAGAGGAAAGTTTTGTAGCTAATCTTACCCATAAGTGCACACATTTTTCCATGCTACCCTCTTTGTATGCTGACACGTCACCACATTTTCTTGTTTTTTGAATTTCTTGTTTTTTTATATTAATATAAATATTTTGTTAAATTTATATGATTTTCATGTTTTTTTTTTAATTTATATATTAATTTTTAGATTTGAAAAATAGTTCGTTGGGACATTCTTAATTCACGTTTTAACCATAAATAAAAAATAAAAAAAATTGGAATTTTTTTTTGTCAATGTTTGTTTTTTTGTCCTTTAATTTTAATTTTATTTATTGAATTCATTAAATTGATTTATTTACCTAAATTGGCCCAAAAAACACTGATTTAAATATTACAAAAGAAAAGTCAACCTTATTATTTTGGTCAAAATTTATTCCTTTCTCACACTTTTTTTGTTATCTAATTAAGACCAATAATTAAAAAAAAAAAACAATAAAAAATTATTGATTTTGTTTGGAAAAAATGAACGAATCAAATTATTTATAAAAATTGTAAATAAAATATATAAATGAAAAGGCATGTATATAGCCTAGACTACTTTCTAAAAGAATACTTTAAAAAAGTGGGTCTCTTATGTAAATATTCTAAACTTAGTGCCCTCCACTTGTAATTTCATTTTCTTCTCAATTAAAAAGATAGAAAAATAAATTATATATCCTTTTGGGAAAGAGAGGCCAATTTGGGAAATTTGAAAATTAAAATAAAAAAATTATTATGGTTCAATTTGGTTGGTAGGTTAAATCGGGTCACATGACACATTTTTTTAGTTTCAACTAATTGCTCGGGTCAATTTTTTCAACACAAACAATTCTAATTGAATAATGAACCAAACTCAATCCAACTATAAATTTAATAATAAAAATTAATATATATATATATATATATATATAGGGTTTAGGGTTTACTCTTCGTATGGGTTAGATTGGGTTGAATTAGCTGAGTTTTTTGGTTATCAGATTTTTGAAACACTCCTTAATTTAATTGTCGTTTTTTTTTCATTTACGTTTGATTAGTAACATGTTTGAGTGCGACAATTAATTCAATATTTCAAAAAGTCAAAATTAAAAAAAGTCAAACCTAATTACTTTAAAACCCTCATCATAAATAATAGAGACCAATGAAATTAATAGCTTCAAAAAAGAAAAAAATAATTAAAATAATTAAAACTTTGATAATTAGTGGTGAAAGCTTACCAAATATTGAAAATTAAAAATTAAATAAAAAATAAAATTAAAATTTGTGGTGTTTATAAGTCTTTGCCCTACACCCATTGACTACAAGTCACGTGGACCCCACGTATAAAGGACCTTAAACTTTTATAAATTTTCCATAGAATAATCTAGAAAAGCATTATTATTAATAAATATTAAAAATATAATCTAATTAATTAATTTTAAGTAATTACTATTTTTTTATTAATTATTAATATTTTATTTAATTCTTTTTAGCAATTAAATTAAAATTTTAGTTATCCATGTTTAAAGAGTAATTTTAATATATGATTTCAATTAAATTAAACTTGTTGTAAGATAAATGTTCTGTGGTAAAATCTTTAAAATTTTACCATTTTCTGTAAAAATTAAAATTTTTCTCATAATTTAGTCCAATTGGTACTTAATTATTAAATTACTTAACCAAAACTTACCTTTATCGGTTCTACTGTTGATTAGTTTTCTCGCTAAAATATATGTTTTTATAATTCATCAAATGTGAGATCCCACATAGATTAGAAAGGGGAACGAAACATTTCTTACAAATGTGTGGAAAATTCTCTCTAGTAGACGCATTTTAAAATCATGAGGCTGACAATATCTATGATAGCCAGACATTTGGCTGTGCTAGCAAAGTAGAGATCTATATTTTGCGGACAATATCTCTGATATTAGAGTCAAACACGGAGCATTGTGCTAGTAAGTATGTTGGGTCTCCAAAAAAGTGGATCGTGAAATCTATCTTTAGTGATACGTAACGGACTGACTATTAACAGTGGGCTTAAGCTATTACATCGAAAGAATGCCCGAACAAAAAAAAAAGAAGAACAATTTAAGGTTAAAATGGTCATTTTAGAAAAATGTCCATTTCATAGGTAAGATTTTTGCATTGAAATGTGAAGGTATGTATAAACTTTGTTCATGTTCTTTGGTTGTTGGCCTTGCCATCTTATGGCTAAGATTCAAAATGCCCTAAAGCTTTAGAGAGAGAATCCCTTTCTCTCTCTCTCCCTAAACAATTCATGTGCCAAGGACAAATACAAAGAGGTCATGACACATAAAAGCAAGCACATTCCAGCCTAGCATTCAATTTTTCGACGTGACACGTCGAGTTTGTCACTCGGGTTAAGTTTCAACACTTTGAGAGTAAGAAACCGAGCTTAAATTTGATATGTATGTGTACTTTTTTTAATAAGGGTAAGATGGTAATAATCTCTCATAAAACTTGTCACAATCACACTTTTGCGATATCGGGAGAATGATTGTGCAACACTTGTTCTAACCAAGCAAACTAGTCAGCCGTGAGAAATTTGAACGTTGTGGACAACGTTGGCGTATGTTTAGTTATCGAGTCTCGTTGCGAGAAAAAGTTTAGAAAACGTGAGCGAAGAATTGAAAAAAAACATCGTTTTATGACTATAAGTAAATAAAGAAATATCATGGCTTAAATAACATATAACTCAAGGTAGAAAGAACTGACGACTTGTCACAATCGCACTCTTGCAATAGCATGACAACGATTGTGTGACAGTTGTTCTAACCAAACGAACAAGTCAATTGTGAGAAATTCGAACGTTGCGAATAATGTAGGCGTACGTTCGGGCCTCGAGTCACATTACGAGAAAAAGTTTAGAAAACGTGAGCAAGGAAATACATTTGAAAACGATTCGAGGAATTGAAGCAAACAACGTTATATGACTATAAACAAATAAAAAACATCACAGCCAGTAGACAACTCAGGGTAAGAAAAAGTGACAACTAGTCATATCTCCTATGGTACGTTTTGGGGCATTTTAGACGAGCAAATGTAGACATGGTTTTGGTAAACGGTCATACACTCTCGTATTTATCCAATTTCAAATTTTTAGATTTTATAGTAAAAGTTGAATTAATTAAAATCCTTAAACGCTAAATTTTAGATTATTAGTAATTGATTTATAACAATTTTTGAGTAATTTCATTTAAAATCAATTAAAAAAATATCTAAATAGCAAAAATTAATATTTGCTTTCGACATTTTTTTTTCTAATATATATTAATATCTGCAATTTTTATTTTTTATTTTTAAATTTAAATTGATATAATTATTAATTTTTATTTGATAAATCTCAAAAAGTTTAACACCATAAATTTATTTAGTTATTTTACTAACTTTAAACATTTGAACAAATGAACTCTTAAAAATAGAAAATATATGTTAAAAAAATACATAAAATTAACATTTAACAGAAAATTGTTGAATAATATTAAATTATAACAAATAAAATATGATATTATTTTCTTGCTTCACTTATAAAGTAAGCAAAATACTATAAAGAAAAAAATGAATGTGGGATGTGATGTGTAACAAAATTATTAATATCTCAACAATTATCATATCTTATTTTATAATCATTATAAATAATAATTGAATAATTATAAAAAAATTACATTTATGGTATATATATATATATATATATATATATGAAATGTATATAAATTTTGTCATTTATGAAATAAAAAAAAAAAGAGTTGATATTAATAAATAAGCATTTATGAATTGAGGTGCCACTTAGAAAATGGATATTTATGAGATTTTATTTAAATAAAATTTTAAAATTAGATATAAATTATTTAAATTTAAGATGAGTACTACCAAAATTTTAGTTGCTAAAAAAAAAAAAAGGGAAATATTGTTTTTAAAAAATATAAATAAATAAATATTATATTGTTCGAAAATATCTTCACATAAAATATTATTTTAATTTATTAAAATTCTAACGTCTAAAATTAAATATCTATAAAAAATACTCATAAAATTTTAATAATACTCTTAAATTAAAAAATATTCTAATAATAATTTAAAAAATACACTTAAATTATTATTATTATTTTTTTTTGGTTAAAAACCTTCCTTTTCTAAAAAAAAAAATTAAAAATACATTTATCATTAATATTATATTTAAAAAAATAAATACCCACGTAATTTTAAAACTAGCCGTAACACTTTTACCTTTATTAAAAAAAAAAAAAAAATTTACGGTAAATCTATGGATGAAAACAATTTGTTTACCCTTCATATATTATTTACAAACGTTTTAATGTTACTTTTTCGGAAAGTTCATGATATTTTTAAAACGTGGTATTAAGTATAAAAATTTAGAATCAGATTGAGTTGGGCTTAGAAAATCTTTCAACTAGATCCAACCTACGAACACCTTGACATGACAGATAGTTTATTATCTTCTCTCCATAAATTTCCCGATCGTATTCACATTATCTTGTTTCTTGATCAGTGAGAACTATTATCATTATTCTATTGAATTTGATAAAAATTAACGTCGAATGAAGTAATCAAAATAGAGTAATACGTGCCCGTAAAAAAAAAGTCGATAAAATGGGAATTATTTATGAATATATTGAATGGTTGTTATGGCTCCAAAATGAGCTATCAAGAAGGGGACACTGAAATACAAAAAGAGTAGACATGTTTTTGGATGGATTAATGATCACATGTGCTTTTAACAATAACAAACAACACCTCATAGCTTGTTACAGCTTGCTTTCTCGTTGCCTTTCCTCTCTCAAAAATCTTATACCCATTCTTTCACGAGATTACGATCTTATGGCTTTTAAACGTTACTGATAAGATATCACATCTATTCGTAAACGAAGAATTTGTTTAAATAGTAATCAAATATGTTGGAAAATGAAACGAGCTGAACGTCATGTAAGTACCTTAGTTTAGGGTTGGGCTGGGCTGGTTGGGTTAGTAGCGTTAGCAACTCGAATAGAGTTCACAACCCAACCCAATGTACCACTGACATCAATTACAAACGTAAAATATTATTAATATTTTTAAAAGTATTGTTGGACTGGGTTGAGTTGTAACCCTATTTTAGAGTTGGTCGAGTTGATTTGACTAAAAAAATGGCAAGCCGAATTGAATTTTTTGTTTTCAAAAAATTCAACTCAACTCGGAAAAAAAATCTAACCCTATCCAACTTTTATGGTTTGGGTTGGGTAGTTTGGGTTGGTCGGTTTATCGAGTCATATGAACATCCCCACCTAAGTTTCTACGAGAAGATGGACAATCGAAACTCGATATATAAGTTTAGATGAGTTGATAAGTCGACTTATATTTCTTCTCTCGTTATGTTGATAGGTCACTTGCTTGCACGAATTGCTAGTGTTTAATTTTGTTGTCCGTCTATAGTTCACATCATTGTCTCCTTTTTTAGGTCGTAAAGTTATTTGATGTTCAAGTCATATAATTATTAATATATGTGGAGTTTTCTTTTTTTTTTCTTCTTTGCTTTTTTTTTTTTTAATTCTATGTTTATTTGTAACCTTAATTTTGGGTTAAATCAAATACCTTTTTGAACCGGCATTCTATGACTCATAATTCGACCACTCCGACTATTCAACTTAGTTGGGTTGAATTAATTTTCTTTGTTTGAATTGGATTGAATTTAAAAAAAAAAATTAAAAATTTGGTCGAGTTGACATTTTTTTTATCGAGTTAACATTGAAATGGGCCATTGGTGTAAGAAGCCCAAGCCCAAGCCCAAACCCAATTCGTCATATTATTTGTTGACCTAGCACTATTGGGCCTAAGGTTCAAGGATTGTTAGCCTCCATCAATCCCGCCCATCGGTGCAACCGACGAACTCCATTCAACGTACATTATATAACTTAATTGTCCTCACTTATATATCATTGATCTTTCCATTTCGTTATCAGAGTAGACTATTGTTTGCCCCTAACATGGACCAGTGATCTTAATAGACAAACACGGTTATATTTTATTCATATTTATTGTTTAAGATGTTGTGTTTGGAATAACTTTTCAAAAAAAAATTTTAAAACAAAAGTAAAATTTTACAGCACGTTAAAATAGCATCTCAGAGATACGTGAATCTTTCTCTCTCGAACGTCAACGTCTTTTTTTTCACAGTTGATTCTGACTCGATTCTAAGGTCTTCCCACTTTGACCATCTATCCTCCTCTTCCTCAGAATTTAATGTTTCGAAAACTAGAAATAATGAAAATTATACTCAAAACTCAGATATAACTCTAATATGAAGACTAATATTGATAGAAAACATATAAAGTCACGTTGCATCAGTGACAAGTTAGGTTTGTTAGACAAACACGACTCTCCACAATGGTATGATATTGTCCACTTTGAGCATAAGCTTTCATGACTTTACTTTGAGCTTCCTCAAAAGACTTCGTACCAATGGAGAGTGTATTTTTAGATTATAAACTCATGACCATTTCCTAAATTAACCAATGTGGGACACTTTCATCTAACACCTCCCCTCGAACAAAGTGCGCCTCCCCTTAATCGAGGCTTGACTCATTTGGAGTCTTAGTCATTTTTTACTGCCTTCGAGGAGACTTGACTCATTTTTTCTTTTTAGAGTCCTTTGTTCGATATTCGAAAATTTGTCAATCTATTGACACGACAAAGTTTAGGGCATGGCTCTGAAACTAATGTTAGACGAATATGACTCTTCACAATGGTATGATATTGTCTACTTTGAGCATAAGCTCTCATGGGTTTGCTCTGAGTTTCCCCAAAAGGCCTCATACCAATGGAGAGTATATTTTTAGATTATAAACTCATGACCACCATAAACTCTCATGACTTTGCTTTGAGCTTCCCCAAAAGGCCTCATACCATTGTGGAGAGTCGTGCTCGTCTAACATGGTATTAGAGCCATGCCCTAAACTTAGTCGTGCCAATAGATTGGCAAATCCTCGAATGTCAAACAAATGACTCCAAAAAGAAAAAACTAGTCAAGCCTCCTCGAAGGTACGAAGGCAGTAAAAAATGACTAAGACTCCAAAGGAGTCGAGTCTCGATTAAGAGGAGGCGTGTTTTGTTCGAGGGGAGGTGTTGGATGATGAAAGTCCCACATCGGCTAATTTAGGAAATGATCATGGGTTTATAACTGAGAAATACTAACTACATTGGTACGAGACCTTTTGGGGAAGCCTAAATCAAAGCCATGAGAGCTTATGCTCAAAGTAGATAATATCATACTATTGTAGAGAGTCGTATTCCTCTAACAAGGTTGACAATGCTAGCATACTCAAAATTTTGGTTCATAAAAACTCATAATAGATAAATTAAAAAAAAAATAATAATAAAAAAAATATATAAAAATTTCCGAACTGAAATTGATAACGGATTTGTTCGTCTCCATCTTCTCCAAAGAGAATAAAAATGCAGTCACTGCCATGATTCCCTCTCTTTATCTCTAATTTTCTCCCATTTCTCCACTTCAGAAGCTTCCAATTCCTTCATCAATGGCCACCAAGATTCTTCCTCAGGTACGGTACTTCCTGCTATCGTCTTTTTTGTAATCTTTCAGTATTCCCTTTCTAATCTTCTATCGCATTAACCTCATATCTTTTGTTTCAAGGCCGTGATTTCTGTTCCAAGAACCCCCAATCAATGTGCGCCGAGAAGATTAGGGTTTTGTTCCGCAATTTCTGCTACTCGGCTTTCGTTTTCTACTCTTTCCTCGAGTTCAATCGGCTGCCATTTTCACCATACTGTTTCGGCGCCGATGAAACGGGCGTTTGTTGTGAGAGCTGAGGCGGATTCCGAAGCAGAGTCGGCGAGCGATGAGGAAAATGTGGATAAAACCGTTGGAGAAGCTCCTCAAGGTGTAGTAGAAGCAGTAGCGGAGTCTGATGGCCAGCCTGAGGCGGAGAAGCCGCCGAGAAAGCCTCGAGTTAAGCTTGGAGATGTATTGGGGGTAATTATTCTATCCACTCCTCTTCATTAATGAACACAAACTTTGTTGTAGGTTAGAAATCACGACCCTCTACAATAGTACGATATTGTCCACTTTGAATATAAGCACTAGTGGCTTTGCTTTGAACTTCCCAAAAGACCGCATACCAATGAAAATGTATTAATCAATGTGGGACTCCCTCTCAACAATCTTCCTTTCAGATAAAGTACACTACAGAGCCTCCCTTTAAGCCTATGAAGCCTTCGAATAACCTCTCCTTAATCAAAGTTGGACTCCATCTCTAAGGTCCTCGAACAAAGTACACTCTTTGTTCGACACCTGTGTCACTTTTGACTATACTTTTGAGGTTTATAACTTCTTTGTTCGACATTTGAGAATTCTATTAACATGACTAAGTTAAGAGCATGACCTTGATACCATGTTAGGAATCACGACCCTCCACAATGGTATGATATTGTCCATTTTGAGCATAAGCTTTCATGACTTTGTTTTCGATTTTCCCAAAATGCCTCATACCTAAATTAACCAACGTGGAACTCCCTTCCAACAATCTTCGACACTAAATTTAGGAACACAATTTTTCTTGCAAACCAGAAGTATAATTCTGTACTGATTCTTTTGAATTATATTCAATTCTTCCGAACGTTTGAATTGTTAAATCAACTGCTGAAGAATTGAAGTGTGATCCTGCGGTTCATAGAAACTCATTACAGTATTGTGTTGTATAAGATTTCAGCTATAGTTGGTGAAATTTCACAATATAGGAATTGTCTCATCTACTAGTTAGAGGGTATCATAATTTGAATTTGGTTTTAGTTTTGTTGATCTTTAAACTTCTGGGTAGATACTTAATAAGCGAGCAGTTGAAGCGTCGGAGAAGGCGAGGCCGATTCCAGACATTAGAACCGGTGACATTGTGGAAGTTAAACTGGTAAATTTTGTTCTTAATCTTTGTAGTCTAAACTCATATGAAAGTGCAAGGTTTTTTTATACTGTTTTTGATAAAAATGTTACTACTACTACTACAGGAAGTTCCAGAAAATAGGCGTAGGCTTTCTGTTTATAGAGGAATTGTCATGTCAAAACAAAATGCTGGCATCCACACTACGATTAGAATTCGCAAAATTATTGCTGGTGTGGGCGTGGAGATTGTTTTTCCGCTGTAAGTATTGAGTTCATCTTGATTTCTTTCTGGAATCTAATATATGCTGTCTGTAGAATATGATTGTGCTCCATTTCAATCTCACTTGCTGATGAACTCATTAAGCACACGGAAGGTGTAACAACCTAAGCCCACCGCTAGCAGATATTGTCTACTTTGGCCCGTTACGTATCGCTGTCAGTCTCACGGTTTTATAACGTGCCTCTTAGGAAGAGGTTTTCACACCCTTGTAAGAAATGTTTTTTTCCCCCTCTCCAACCCATGTAAGATCTCACAATCTACTCCTTGGAGGCCCAAAATCCTTGCTGATACACTGCTCGGTGTCTGACTCTGATACCATTTGTAACATCCCAAGCCTATCGCTAGCAGATATTGTCTGCTTTGGTCCGTTACGTATCGCCGTCAGCCTCACGGTCTTAAAACGTGTCTCTTAGGGAGAGGTTTCCACATCCTTATAAGAAATGTTTTGTTCCCCTCTCCAACCGATGTGGGGTCTCACAATCCACCTCCTTGGGGGACTAACGTCCTCACTGACACATCGTCTGATGTCTAGCTCTGATACCATTTGTAACAGCCCAGACTCAACACTAGCATATATTGTCTGCTTTGGCCCGTTACGTATAACTATCAGCTTCACAGTTTTAACGCGTCTCTTAGGGAGAGGTTTCCACACCCTTATAAGGAATGCTTTGTTCCTCTCTCCAAATTTTTTAAAAAGGAGTGAATAAACTATCTGGATTTGGATGACCTTAGAACACTTTTGGTTTCAGAATCTGTTTATTTGAACATAAAATTGATTGTTCTCCAGAACAATCTCACATGCTGATTCAGTTATAAAGCAATACTACCCGGGGTTTGGATGAGTTGAGGAAACTCGAACCTTGTTACAGATTTTGGTCTTAAATTCCTCTTTTCATAATAGTAAAGCCCTCCACCAAACCAACCAAAAATAAGAAGGAAGAAGTACCAAATCCATCAAAATTAGATGAAACCAAAACATGGGCCAATGCTTTGACAGGCTCCTCTTGGCTTGCTGACAAGGTTGTTATCAAAACTTAATGAACTGATAAATATCCGATGCGCTATACTCTAAGCAACGACATACTCGTGCCTGAAGTTCTTGTCGATCGTTAGATACCGGATTGATTTTTCATTTCCTGCTTGGTTACTTCTGTGGGATTTGACCTCATGATAACATTCTACTGCAGGTACTCACCAAACATCAAAGGGATAAAAGTGGTGAGCCACAGGAAGGTGAGGAGGGCAAGATTATATTATTTGAGAGACAAACTTCCAAGACTCTCTACTTTCAAGTGAAACACCCCAATGGATTGACCATCAACGTTATGTTTCTTGTTATAATTCAAAATTTCATGTTTTCTTTTTCTTAGATTTGCACATTATTCTTCTGTATATCGTCATTAATTATATATATGAGCAGCAGGGGTTTCATGAAAGGTACTGTCCTGGATTCACATTCTTGCACATGTCCCCAAGCTTCTTTACCATTACTGATCCCATTACTTGGCTTCTTCTCAGTTGTTTTTCCTCATCTTTAACTTTAAGTTTATGAAGTTGGGCATCTTGAGATCTTTCGGCTTTGAACGAATTAGCCATGGTTCTGCCCCTAATCTTTGGGGACGAGAAGGTTGTTGAGGGGTTTATAAGTAAGGAATACATTTCCATTGATATGAGGTCTTTTGAGGAAACCAAAAGCAAAACCATGAGAGTCTATGCTCAAAGTGGACAATATCATATAAAGGTTTGGTCTTGCATTCTTTAGACAAACGTCTTTACTTCTAACTTTTCCTTTTATGATATGTTTTTTACGTCCTTTGTAGATTACGTGCATCTTTCGTGGAACTATGGCAAGTCAAAGCTTTTACTTCCTTCATCTTCGAGGAAAATTGGCGCGATCGACACGATCAAAGGTCAGTTTCTATTTATCTTTGTGTTGTTGTTTTTAGAGAGCCAACTCTGATCCAACATCACTATAACTACTATGATCCTATTTCTTTGGTCTTTATTTGGAACGAGCAGTTACAAATTTCAGAATAACTTAAGGAAAAGAAGTTTTAGAGCAAATTACTTTTGATGATTAAGATTAAGAGTAAAGAAAAACTCGTTTCTAATCACATTATTCGAATTACTCCACAAAATAGTTTGATCCCAGGAACAACCTCACTGAATGTCTATTAACCTTGAAAATAAACTTTAGAGTATCCTATGGTCAATTGAAAGGTTCTAACTCTCCTGTCATAATGATCACTAACTAACTCTAACTTAAATCCTTAAAAATAATATTTTAAAATTTAAAAATACAATGAATCCTCCTTAAATCCAGACACTACATACAATCTAGATGATTAGGACACTTTATTTCACATCAGCCTGCTTATTTCAACCATATATGAGATAAGAAGTTGATAATTACTACCTTGACACAATCGCACTTTTAAAAGCAGCGGACTAGCAATTGTGCGGCACTTACTTTCCAACGACAAGTGAGCTAAGCCAATTTGTTCTTGCGTCGCCTACGGCCAAGCGACGTATGATCGAGCCTCTAGCCTCGGTTTTGAAAGAAGGTTCTAGAAAACGAGGGTAGAGAGAGATTTTAGAAAGATAGATTTTTGAAAGAGACGTTATATAAGCAAGCAAGAGAGAGATAACAACGGCTTAGCATATATAACCTTGGGTAGGGGGATAATACATAGATTCTTTTAAAATAATCCCTTCTTGTTTTTAAGTTGACCCGAGTAGATCTAAGTTCAATCGCCCAAATCCATTTATCTTACCTCTCTTAACAAGTTTTACTAAACACACTTAAAATTAGTAATTTTTCTCTAATGCAAACACTTCTCTATAAAAACAATGAGATTAGAGGATATAATTATAAATAGCCTAAAGATTAGGGACCAAATTATATAATTAGCAAAAAGAAAAAAAAAAAGCTTTTGTGTATTTTGAAAAAGCCTTTCATGAAAAAGAAAAGGCATTAAAAAAAAAAGGACCCTTTTGAAGAGGGAAACCAGCAAAGCTTGCTCCTTTCAATAACTACATTAATCATTATAGTACATAGTTTAGAACTATGAATAATTAATTATATATTAAAGTAAATTATTGTATAAACTTTATATTTACTTTAAGATAAGGTGTCGAACTTTAATTTAGTGACATGCATGCGTCAAACAATCTTTAATTTAAAGAATATATAGTTTATGAAAGTTGCAATCCTATGATGAATTTTGTGCAAAGTGTTCGTTGACAGATAAAATAATAATTTAATGTTTAGTTTAAATTTTTTCTTAATGGGAAAGAATTCCTCACACAGATCCATCGCTAGCAGATATTGTCGGAAAATGTTTCCACTCCCTATTCTCTTCCCCAACCAATGTGGGAGGTCAATTGGATGTGGGACCCCACCAAATCCACCCCTTTGGGGCTAGCGATAAGACTGGTCTTCTTTAGGTTTTCCTTTTCGGGTTTCCCTCAAGGCTTTAAAACTCGTATGCTAAAGGAAGGTTTCTACTCCCTTGGTGTTTTGTTCTCCTCCCCAACCAACCTGGGACATCACAAAGTTGATGCTACATATCTTTTCTTTTTATATTTTTTTATACATTACACGTTGATGTCTATGAATTAGTTTCAAGAAAGCGGCCGTCACGTTAGAAACCTCGATTTTTTATGTAGTTGCAATAAATTTCCTTTTTTCATCGAGATTGTGTTGGTGTTCAGCGTCAGTACCTGATTGAGAGTAGCCAAAGGGAATATCCGACTAGTGGCGTAAGTTGGCAAAGTGACGTTAGTCATCCTTAGCTGTAGATCGTAATGATATCATCTACGTCTGTACCGTTACTCATGGAGTAGATCTCACATCCAACCAAGTCTTTAACTAGGGAACAAGAGAATTCCCACTTCCGACTTTCATGAATAATTTTAAAAAAACTCAAAACTTCCTCAAACTTTTAAAACCGATATATTATTTTTAATAATTTAATTCTTTAATATTCATACTCGAACCCTCCATTTTACAACCATTTATATTTAAACTTTATTATATAATAATCGGTTATATTTTCATATTTATAATGACGGTTCATGCTATAACAAATCTCATATAATATAAATTAAAATTTAATAATAATTTTTATGATGAGAATTATATTATTATAATTGTGAAGTGTTGTTACCATTTTAAAAATAAAATTATAAATAAGGAATAAATGTAAAAATTAATTAATTTTTTAAAAAAAGAAATAAAAAAAAAGAGAGATGACACGTCAACATTCAAATTCAATCAAGTGCCACACGGTGGGTCCCTTTCACAGTCTGGTCGACGAAAATCCCCCGTCCTTTTGAACCCAATACGTTAACTCTCCCATTCTCTCTGCCCACGTGTCCCACTTTCTCTCTCCTCTCTTTCTCTCTCTAGTTTCAGTGAAGCTCTGCGGTAGCCATCGGAGAGGTTGCCGATCAAGCTTTCGTTTATGCTCCTTTTTCGCTCTCTATTTGGTCATTTTTCACTCTCTCTCTCTCTCTTCACTGATCCTGGTTTTCTGCCTAAATTTTCGAATCCCCCTTTGGTTTTTTCCGATTGAATTTGGACCGAGCAATCCGTACTCTTCCCCCTCCCTTCGCTTCACCACTCTCTCTCTCTCTCTATCTCTATCTTGTTCATATCGTGAACTCTCTCTCTCCTATCCTTCTATTTCCTTCTCTCTGTTTTGGGGCACTGGCATTCCGGGATTTTTGGATTTTGGAATCCTTTTTGTTCTGTTTGTGGGTTGTTTTTTAATGCTTGGCTCGTGGAGTTGAACTCTGTAACTGGTTCGAATTTTGTTTTTGTTTTTTGTTTTTTGTTTTTTGATCTGGATTTGTGCCGTCATGAGTGCTGGAAGTGGGAATCGCTTAATCTCCATTCAACCGGATGAGCTCAAGTTTCAGAGTATGTAATTTTGCTTCCATGTTTATCGTATCTTGTTCTTTTTATGCACGTATGCTTGAATTTTCTCTGGTTTTTCGTTTAATTCTTGCATTGATTTTGCTCATTCTCGTCATGGAAGTAGAAAAACGAAATTATTAGTTGAGTTTTGTGATAGTTCTTGAGGATTATAGTATGGATTTATGTGGAGAGAGGGAGAAATGAGCTGAGAAACTCCCAATTCTGTGATGATTTCATACTAGGAAAGTTTTTTGGAACCTACCTAATTTCCTTGCATTGAGTGTTGAGATAATCATATGAGGGAAAGAGACTCCTAGCTGCAAGGTGTTTTCAGGGAGGTGGAGGCCTTTTCTATGAGAGGCATAGGCCTATTGTGAACGAAAAATTGGTCTAAGCCCTGATGCTAACGTTTGTATGTCGACTTGAGGCGAGTATCCATAAGGATTTTAATTGATTATTGGGTAGCATTATCATATTTTTGATGAAAATTTTGGAGATTGTTGATTGAATCTAAGTTAAGATTGGATGTAATTATTGTTTGTTGGGCTGTCCACCTAAACCTGAGGCGGTTATAGATGCAACAAAACTTCACAAGAAGATATCTTGAGAAATCTATGAAGATCGGTGTTTTACCATCTACCACAAATTTCATGTTGGCCTAAGTACTCATACTGGAAATTACGATCAAGGATTACTCTATCAACCATCAGCTACTTTAGAGATCATCTTTCTTGAAACTTTTTTTTTTTTTTTTTTTTTTGATAAATGGAATAGTTATAACACTAAAAAGTTTATACATTGTTTCTCATTTTAATCCCAAAGGCCTTTCAGTATTATCCATGGCTTCCCTCAATCCATGGAATCTATTAAGAAACAGAATGTTCATTCAATGGTTTTGTTTGTTCTTGAGTAAAGTTTTGTATATATTCTTTTATGTTGACCTCTCATTTGCGTTTTGAACTTATGAATGGGGCCTATATCATCAGTTGAGTTGGAAAAGCAGAGTTTTTGTGATCTTAAAGTTGCAAACAACACAGAACATCATGTTGCCTTTAAGGTAATAGTTTTGAGTATTTTAAGAAAGCATATATATTTGACATTGAATATCTATTTTGTAAAGAATTTTGCTAACTTCATATTTATTTCTTTATAATAGGTCAAGACGACCTCACCGAAGAAGTACTTTGTGCGTCCCAACACTGGTGTCGTACAGCCTTGGGATTCTTGCATCATAAGAGGTCGTAATCATTATCTAAGAATTTGATGTTTATGCTTTGTTCTCCCTTATTTGTTTGTGTTTCGAGCTTCAAAGAAAGATAAATGGGTTTTTTGTATCACATTATTTGTTCGTATTTCTTGCATCATAAGAGGTCGTAATCGTTATCTAAGCATTTTATGTTTATGCTTTGTTCTCCCTTATTTGTTCGTGTTTCGAGCTTCAAAGAAAGATAAATGGGTTTTTTGTACCACATTATTTGTTCGTGTTTCTTGCATCATAAGAGGTCGTAATTGTTATCTAAGCATTTTATGTTTATTCTTTGTTCTCCCTTATTTGTTCGTGTTTCGAGCTTCAAAGAAAGATAAGCGGGTTTTTTT